TGGAAGTCAAAATTCCTCCAGATTAAAACACTACAATTCTTATTGCTTCCACTGCTATTGATGCTTAGTGTCTTTGCATTCCTGTAGATAAAGTGACTACAAATTTATCTTCCATCCGCCATGTGGAAAGAAACTGGCGATCAGATTTGGGTTTCAATCCCCCGTAGAATAACTGTAGTGGTGTTGGGTAGACTGTGAAATCCAAGGAGCGCGTTATGATCTGCTCCTCCTGACTGCTCAGCAGTTTCACCGGAGGATGCCAGTCGTTTCCCACAACAATGTTTTTTTTCATATGTGCCCCTGAGCTGCAGTAGCAGCAGCAGCTTGCAGAGCTTTAGATAATGATTGCTCTGATAGAGGAAAAATAACGGAAGAGGGAATTAGCCTGGGAAACAATTTTGTTCTGTTTTTAGTGAGATAAGAATAGTATAAATGAGTAGTTAATGTAGGTACCATTGTGATTTTCAGGCAGTGTGGTAGGGTGTTTTTGTTTTCCTTTTTCCAGCCCCTTCCTTCCTCCTTCCCCCTTTCAGAGCAACTCTCCTTCTATCCTCTTCCTTCTTGCTGCAGTAAATTGAGGGGATTCAGAAGTCCGGTCTTACGTTGCAGTTGGCCGTTGTAGGATATTGAAGGGCAATGAACTGAAATACCTAGCTGCCTCTAGCACCAAGAATGTTATGATGTCTCATAACCACAATTACATATAGAATACTTAGGAATGCAGTTAGAAGTCTGGGAGTTGGGGCAGACTAGACAATAATGAAACTAACTGTGATAGAAGAAGCCAACAATGCCACTTAGGATCTTGTTTTGGAATAATGTAGGGATGTAGAGGGAAAGAACTGGGAGGAATAAATGAATTAATACTCTTACAGAGCACTGCTTTGACAATATTTTACCTTCTGAAATGCTTAGTATATGCGTTTTAACTGCTTAGAGATTATTTATCTTTACTCTTTGTATTTCAAAAGTGCAGGCTATAAGCTGTGGTTTGCAAGTGAACTTGACACTTTTGTAAAATGAAAATGGCTTAAGTTATGCAGTGCTTATTTAAAAACATTTCTAAGAAACTTTTCACTTTATGGGTAGTTCAATCAAGTTTTGTTTGGTGTTTATCTTAAAATTGCAGGTGAAGAAAGCGATGCAGATGTAGTTGCAGTCGGAAGAAAATTCGAATGCATTCACTTCCAGGTAGAAGTTTCAGTTCCTGTTTGCTGATGTGATGGAAGAACTAGACTGTGTTTTAGGACTATGATGGCAAAGTCGCATAGAATATGCACTTTGTGTTTGAAGCTACTCTCCTGTGTTCTGCTTGCTCAAAGACAATTGCCAAAAACTTACCTCATTTTCCTTGCTTGCTTAATATATTGCTATGCTGTGTTATTTTGATAAATGCTAGTACGAACTGACTCAGAAAGGCAGAAAGAGTTTCATTGTGAAAGATGTTTATTATTTATTACCAAGTGCTTTCAATTTCTAAGTAGAGCTGTGTTATAAAGAAAATTTTCCTTTGTATGTGGGTGCTAATATTGTGTAAATATTTTAGCCATAATTACTAGCATTCTGTAATCTAGGACTGGGACTTTTGGAGTGTTTTTGATGGTAGGTGCTGAGAGGCAGAGTTTTCTTCTGCATCAATAAACTAGCTTGTTATCTCTCATTATAGATTTTCACATACAGCTCTTTCTCAGGATTTTTTTCTAACAGAACATATGTATTAGAAAAGTTTATGCTGGTTGGATATCTTTGTCTAACTAAGACTGGTTTGGGACATGATAATTCTAAGTGGGTAAAAGTTCTGTGTGTTTGGTTTTGTTTTTAATCCTCTAAGAATCTGAATGTTGGTGATATGGAAACGCCAAATAAAGTAAAAGTTCAAGTGGATGTGATAGTACAAGAAGATGCTAGAGATATTCCAAAGTGGATTGAGGTAACATATTTCTCCTGTTCCATTAGAAGTTATTAACTAATTCATAGTTCAAAGAAGCTGCTTTTTTAGTAGCTAGTTTTTGCTTTTTTATGGATGAATAAAGTGAACTCTTTCAGCATTTTAAAAATATTTTGATTTTAAAAATGGATAGGAGAGGGCTTATTCAGATTTGCTTTTGTGATGGAAAACAGTATTATCATGCTAAAACTAGCTTCCATGATTTATTTTGGCTTTAATCTGTGTTGAAGCTGCTGAAATCGATTTATTTGCATGTTACTCAGTATTATTAATTATCCTGTATATGTTTCTAAGTTGCTGTTCTTTCCTCAGCCTTCTCACTTCCACTGAATTGCAGTCCCCATTAATAATAATAATAATAAGCCTGTTTACCTACAACACAACACAGTGATTACTGGTAAAGACTTTTCTGTTACTGTCCACGTTGCTCCTCTTCTACTTGATCACAGCAGTGACTGCAAGAGTCTTCATTCATTTTACTCTGCATGAGTTGGTCTTCATGCAGAAAGTCTAAATAGCCTAATATGGAGGTTTGTGGCAGAGCAGGGGAGGGAAAGAATATTTAGCTTCATTTCATTTACTCTTTTTCCCCCAAAACGATGTTACACAGTGACACAGTATATGGCTTTTGTTTCCTACTGGATTTGCCAGAGAACATAGACTGTTAAGGATATATAGCAATCTCCATGTATCAATGCTTATATTTAGGGAAGAATTTGAAATTGGATATATATGTAGAAGTTTTTTACGCACTTTGTTTTGCGTAGCTACTTTACGCGTTTACGTGGTAACTTTAAAAAAATTCTTACTGTGGTCTTCAACAGAACTCCTCTTCCTTGTATTAAGTGTTACTCAGTCCAGTTGGAACATATTCCTAGACAGATGCTAGCATTATATAGCATTATAGGGAGAAGACAGTGAGTCACAGTTCTCAGTCAGGCTTTGATGTTGCTTTTGATAGGCAAAAAAAATCAGGATATTAAATTTATATGCTTTTTTTCTTTTATTTTTCAGATAATCCCTCAAGAATCATCAAAGGCTCTTTACTTAGCTTCACCAGTGCAAGAGCTGATTGATACAAGTAAATTTTTCGGGGGTTGGATTAAGTATATTAATTAACATGTTATATTTATTGAAATTTATTAAAAGTAAGTAATATATTGAATGTACGGATCCACAATCCAACAAAAATTGAAGAATTTGTTGTATTCTTGAAGAGACATTGGATAGATGTCATTTGGCTTATGGCAAATTGTACTCAAAAATGGAAAATAAGTAGTTTGTATATGTAAAAACAGCTGCTATTAAACAGTCCCAGGAAAAAAAATGCGTATTTGCAAAACATGGGAGAATTATGCTCATTTAAATTGAAACATAATTTTACGGGTTTACTTTGTTTTAAATTAAAGGAACATAATGAGTAGCTTTTTGTCTGCTGGTAATTCTTTGGTGCCCAAAGTGGTACTTGAGTAGTAAACTTTCTTGCTTCAAAAGATCTTGAGCCTTGATCCTGCAAAACAGTGGGTTTTCCATGCACTTTGTCTTGTGCTTATCCATATTAATTCAATGTGGTTAAGAAAAAAAAAAAAAATCCCAGTCTATTGTGTGTTAATTTTCCATTTAGCTTGTCAAAACTTTAGTGAAATTTCTTATTAAGAATATTTATACCACATGAAATTGATTTTTAAGTCAGGTAATATATTACTGGATACTTTTTCCTCTCTTTTTTTAAACAGGCAACCAGGCCATTGTTTGCAAAAAGAAAGTGAGCTTTGAAAATGACTGTTCTTCATCCAGACCTCTCCAGTTATATTTGCCTTGTGTTTCCACTTCACCAAATACAGTGTACCAACTTTTTCCAGAAGCAAATGAAACTGCCTGTGATGGTATCTTGGAATTACACCAATCTGCAGATGAGGAATGTCCCTGGAGCAGTGCAGTAATTGGAGACTTATATCCGGGGATGGTAGAGTCACTAATGAGGCTCATGAAAAAGCATTTTCAGAGAAAAGTGTTTAAGTACATAGCTCGCCACTACAGACGCAAAAAAAGGCGTTCCAGAAGAGCCAGGCTCAATATCACTGTAGAGAAAACAAAGGAGTTGAAACCACTTACACTGAAGCCAGCCCAGCCTGACACATGGAGCATCACCAAGGAAGGCATTCAGAATGTGCATTTTGGAAATAATGCAAGTGCTAGTGATAACAAGTGTCCCTTTCATTTAAATGGCCTGGTATATTATTATGACAGTGGTGAAAGTGAAATGGAAGTGGACCGCTCTGATTCAAATTTAGAATGTAATTCAACATTTGTTAAAGGCCAAAATCTCCCTGAACAGGCTGTTCTTCCGAGTTGTACGGCTAGAATAGGAGAAACGTTTCTAGTTGAAGATCCTTTACAGGCTGCTGCCTCAGTGAAGAATTCCAAATGCAATGAAAGTGAAAATTGGACTTATGAACGTTCTTCAGATTACCCTTCTGAAACATCTACTGTCAGTTCAGGGTCAGCAGCACTTCATCTGGTAAAAGAAAGCAAAACTCACAAAACTAACTTCCCCTCTAGTGATACCTCAAGATTGTGCTCATCAATTTCCAATTTCAGTAGCAATGGTAATGCTTTTGTACCAGTTAGAAACAGTTCTCTTACAGCATCAAATATGTTTCTCAGAAATCCTGAAATGAAATTTCCTAAGAGGGAGATTTCTTTGCAGCGCAGCCACTCATTTTCCTCTTTGCCTGGGAATCGGAGACCTTCACAGACTCAGCAATACGAAGATGCGTTTGAAGAACTCTACTACAAACTATGTTCCAAGGAAATTCAAAAGCCCTTGATGTTAAAAAAACTGCCTTCAAGCTCACGGAACCTTGAGGAGAAAGCAGGATTAGTGAAGAGTAACTTAAGTGATCCTGTGAGGTCCGATGTAGACTGCGACATAGCGTTTGAGAAAATGTATCGGGAATTGACTGGTGATAGTGTTCCAAACCTCCCTGGGCTTCAGAGAGCCTCAAACTTAAGGAAATATCAAGTAATACAGATGTCTGAAACTGTAAATGCTCTTGTTAATTCACCCCTTCAAACTTCATCTGCAACTCCCAGAGTTAAAAGACTAGCAAGTGTTCAAAACGATTCCCTCTCTTCACCTGTAAAGCGACTGAAAAATACACCTGAACGTTATTTTCCTCCAGCCATTTATCATCATCAGACTCACAGGAAAAATGTTCATCTTCTAAAAGGTGATTTGGCTCCATCAAGCACGTGCAGTGGCAGTAACTCCAGCTTTCATCACACCTGCAACTGCCAAAGTCAGGTATTGGAGGACCTTGGGTTTTTGTTTGTTTTTTGTTTTTGTTTTGTTTTGTTTTAAAGTATAGTCTTTTGCTGACATTTGCAGAGAAAGGCTTAAAAAATGTATTGGTGTTAGAAAGTCTTAGAACTAGTCAGAACATTGTTCTGGTCCTATTTTTTGTTGTTGGCAGTGTCTTTGTTTTGCAAAAACAGTTCAGAAGTAAATTGCATCGTCTCCTGGATCCTCAAATTCTATGCAAGGAAGCTGCTGTCATATTTAGGAATCTTGAACGTTTTAAAACCTCTTTCAACAGCACCTATCCTCTCATTTTAATGCTGTGTCATTTAAAATAATAAAAAAAAAACCCTCAGACAGTAGTCAATTAAGGCATTGGAATTGTTAGGCTTGTTTAAGTGTTAAATCAAGCCCTTAGTTCCAAGTTTCCAGTTACTTAGCACAGTTACATAGCACAGGCTATGAAGTAATACTTGGGATTTTTCTACTGATATAATCTGTTGATGCTTTATTTTCAGGACTCTGGATCTTGCCCTTCTCCAAATAAAACCTTTCTTGTTAGTCCTCGTGCTTCTCCGCAAGGTTAGTTTCAAAGACTTTCTGAATTAATACTTTAGCGATCACAGGCAATTATTTAAAGGATAAACCTATAGATCTCCTCTGCAGTCTCCCATCAAGAATAACAGTTCTTCTTCCTTAATAAAAATTGATTGTGTTCAAATTTCTTTAGTGTGTAATGAATCTAAGTAGAAAGTGATTTCCTGAATCATGTTGACTGCTGTTAAACTCTTCTGTTCATTAACTAAGAATTTTTTATTACATGTTGGCTTGCTAGTGTTTATCTGCTAGTTTTTCTGCCATTTTTTTTTCTGCTACATTTGTTGTTGCATTTACTTTCTATAAGTAAACATCCAGTAGGAAATTATACTTTATGAGACAAGAATACAATTGATACCAAAGTTTTCTTTCCTGATGCTGTATATAATTGTGAACTACCTGTATCTTTTTCTCATGGTAATAAATTAGAAGCACTTTGAGAGAAGTTAGCTTTATACTTAAATATATACAGTGCTTTTGAATTGTATTTGAAATTATATTTTGCATTAAAATATGTTTATGAGGGACTTTGTTGATTAAGATGATTGTTGCCATTGTTTTATTAGGCTAATATTTTAACAACTTAATGTGGTGTTCATGCCAACCCTCATGGTTCTTGCCCATTTCATCCTGTTTTTCATCAGCAGAGTCTGGAATTGCAGACACCCACCCTGATAAGCCTGGCACACAACAGAATCGCATCCTTCGGAGAAGCACGCGGAGGTGTAACCAAAGGTAAGCGCCTCTGGAATTTCTGTTAAAGAAATCTCAAAAAAAGTTTGTTCTTGTTCTGTGAGAAAGCTGTTACTTAGTCCTGCATCATATATACTAGTATGATGAAAATCAGCTTGGATCCTTGGGAGCGCCCAAGCTAATAAAACCTGCAGACATGGACATGGGAAGGCAAGTGTTGCTGGACAAAACTAGCCAGTGTCCAGCATGGATGATCAGCAAGTAGAAGTTGCTTTGATTGGCTTTACTGAATAGCCACTCGAGTACTTATTTTTGAGAGGTGTGCTTTTCATTTTAGCTTTAGCGTAGCCAGAATGAAAACAGTTCTGTAGTTATTTGCTTGAACTGACAAGTCCTTCTGGATTCTTAAGATCTGAATTCTTAATATTGCCATTTAAATGGCTTTCAAAAATCAGTTCCTGTCCAGGTGGACCTGTTTACCTGTGTTCTTGCTCTGTGATGTACCAGCAATGAATCTCTTAGGAATAGACTCTAGATGCTCTGATTCATCACTATCAGCAGTGTATTTACATTTTGAGAGAACACTTCTTCACAGCCCTGGATGATATCCTCCTATCTCTATTTTCCTTAATATGTGTAATTTGACTTCTCAACCTTTAGATCTCTTGGATTATGAATTAATTTTATAGGCGCAGGATTAGATGGCCTTCAAAGTTCACTAAACATCCTCCCTTTATTTCTTGAAATATCTCTGTGGCAGAGAAAGCTTATTGTAGCTTTGCCAAAAAATATCGAATCTGGCACCACAAGATACACTGCCTTCCTAAATTCAAAGCCGCAAAATGTTTTCAGTATGTTAAAGTAATCCTTACAGCTGATATCTGATTTAGGACAATGGTCAAATTAAAATCTCAAAAGGAGGCTTGACTGTATTTTGAAAGTACCTGCATGGAAGTCTTCAATTAGTAGAGGCTGCATTATTTGAAGAAAAAAAGTGTCAGTTTAAGCAAAGATGAAATTAAAACTTATAGGCATTTGTATTTCAAGTACAAAATGACTATTAATAAAGATTGCATTAAGACTATTTTTGATACAGTGGAGTATTGAAAAGAAACTGAGTACATGAAGATGTTTCTGTGATCCTGAGTATGCTCATTTAGCAGTTAGCTAAGTGAATTTTTATTCAGCTATTGAATTTACACTTTTTTTTTTCTGACTACACACAAAATCCTCCCTATGAGATTACTGAACTGTTTTGAAGAACAAAAAGGGTTTCCTCTCCCTAATGCCTGCAAATATGTGTGCTCTTGTGTATTAGTGTGCTCTTGTGGCCAAGAAGGCCAATGGGATCCTGGGGTGCATTAAGAAGTACAAGAGGGATGTGATGCTGCTGGAGAGAGTCCAGCGCAGGGCCACAAGGATGATCAGGGGCCTGGAACATCTGCCCTATGAGGAGAGGCTGAGGGAGCTGGGCCTGTTCAGCCTGGAGAAGAGAAGGCTGAGAGGGGATCTAATCAGTGTGTGTAAGTACCTCAAGGGAGGCAGTGAGGAGGATGGTGCTGGCCTTTTTTCAGTGGTGGCCACTGACAGAACGAGAGGTAATGGCCACAAACTGAAGCACCAAAAGTTCCACAGGAACTTAACGAATTTTTTTTTTTTTTAACAGTGAGGGAGACAGAGCACTGGAACAGGCTGCCCAGAGAGGTTGTGGAGTCTCCTTCTCTGGAGATCTTCAAAACCCACTTGGACGCAGTCCTGTGCCACGTGCTCTAGGTGACCCTGCGTGTGCAGGGGGGTTGGACTAGATGGTCTCTAGAGGTCCCTTCCAACCTTAAGCATTCTGTGATTCTATGAAATAAGTAAGTGTGGGGGAGAGCAGGTAATGGAGAGCAGGTAACTTGGATTTCAGTGAGTACTTTCCTGCCAAGGCACCTGGAATTAAATCTATTCCTTTGTTCCTTAACTGGACAAATGCATGTGTCTTAATTTGTTACATAAATGGACTATCTGCTGGCAAGTTTAGGCCTCAGTTTTTATATTCTTGTACTTTTGTGACTGTAAAAAGACATCCCAGGAGTGAAGCTCTCTAGTGACTTCTGAGCTGTCAGAAGTTTTATGTCGAAGCCAGGCAGCAAAATGCTCTATGCAATAATGAACCATGGGGCAGGGAAGAAAATTTTTACCTTGTTGTCTGGAACTTGACAGTCTTGATCTAGAAGACTGTCTATGCCTAAGAGATTTCAGAAATTTAGCAGACAACGCCTGCACAAAGCTACAGAGTAATTTGTCTTATGACTTACTGTTGTATTGAATTTTTCTGATATAAACCACATTGGTTTCAAATGGATCCAAAAAACACGTTGGCAGTTCTTCACTAACAGCAGAGAAATAATTGTATTCTCATTGCTGCAACATCTCTCAATTGTAACTATTTGTGAATACATTCAGTGATTGCATCTCAATGCTGTTAATAGATATTTGCATCAACGTAATTTAGGTGAATATAACAGCATTACTGAGACATTAAAATGACATTCCCCTTCAGCTGGCAAGGAAGCCTGCTGCAGGGTGTTCAGGTGTTTTGCTTTGCCAATTTGTTTCAGTTACATTCTGCTTACTGTCAGCTAACCAATAAGAAAATACTGTGTTCTTGTTTAATTTACCATAACTTTATGATCTAAACAGTTCTTTTATATAGGGTATCAAGAAAACTAGGCTACGCTGATGAGAAAGCCTAGCATTCCTTTGGAGGACTTTGAATCAAACCTTGCCACGGAGCACACACGGACTGCTACAGAGAAAATATTTTGTAACTTTTAAAAATCAGTTATTAATTGTAGTTTAAATATTTTATTTAAGAGTTTGCAATTATTAACAAACAGGTGTATTAACATACAGTTAGTCCTGATTTATACTTTCCTATAAGGTAAGACAAGCTCTAGGAGCTCCCTTCTGAAAGGCACTTCTTACTCATCTGGTTTCATCAGATATTTACAAGGAATCAGGCTTCCTTTTTATGGCAAGTTTGATTTCTATATTTAATAGTGTTGATAACAAAAGATTGTTATTTGTGCTATTTTTCATATTCTGGTTAAGTTTGGATATTTACTGTAGCATTAATAAGGTATTAACAAGCTTGGTTTCTGCCCAAATTCCTACCTGTTCTTGTTTTATACATGTGACATTACTAAATGCACGGGGGAAAAAAAAATCTGTAAGGGCATGGATGATCCAAATAGTGTTTTACACTATGACTTGTAATATTCTTCATGTATAATTTTAATGTATAACTGAACATTTGACTTTCGTTAGCTACTTGGAAAATAAAGGTTTATACAGTAAAGGATATTTCTTTTCTTTTGTATTTTCACAATGTTTTAACCTCACACAATCTACAGAATCAGAGAATGACTGAGGTTGGAAGACACCTCTGGAGACCACCTAGTCCAACCCCATTGTTTGAGCAGATCTGCTGAGAGCACGTTGCCTAGGAAGCTGTCCAGAGAGTGTTTGAATATCTCCAAGGATGAAGACTCCACAACCTCTCAGGGCAACCTGTTCCAGGGCTCCGACACCTATATTGAGAAACTATATAACTGCATTGTTTTCTAAAGTTAAAGGTCCACTGGAATTGTTTTTTAGACATGTTTAATTCAAGGTACGATTTCTACATAGCAACACAATGAAGACTTACACAAGTGGGAAGTGGGAAACCAGATTTATTTAAAGAATATGGTAGTAATTCAATCTACTAAAGTAACTTGGAATTTGTAGTAGTTTGGTCAAACCTTGAGGTGTAAGATGAGCTTATCTAATTGGCACTCTTTTCATGGTAGCAGAAAGCAGGAACTCCATTTTTGGAGTTTGACTCTCCAATGTCTGCTTTTTTGTTCATAGTCTACCTAGGATGATGTACCTAAGAGTCTGCTGAGCCGGGTCTGTGCAACCGCCTCGTCATGGCACTGCAGAGACCCGAGCGCTCGTGTCCAGGGCAGTGAGGGAGAAGGGAAGGGCTGCAACGGCCCTGCTCCAGAAGAATTGTTGGAATGCCTCTTTAAGAAGGGAAAGAAATTGGAACGCCTTTTTAAGAAGAGAAAGCAACTGGTCAGAGAACAAACATCCAAGAATACTGTCTTGGGAAAATGATGATAAAGAACCCGCTGTCAGAACCAGATCAAGAAGAAAAGGAAAATCCAAAACAGAGTGCAAAAGAGATACCTACAAAAAGTACAGAAGAGTAAAAGATTCCATACTATCCTGTAGAAATGGGAAATGGCACACTTTGTGGCTTCAGATGAAACCTACCTGGATCAAGCGCAGTCATGTACACCTGCCATTCACAAGCTATGCACAAGATCCTCTTCATAGGATCCTCATCACAACCTGTGAATATGGAGGGGTTGTACTGACACCTCTGTTATGCAGCCATCCTAAATATAGGTTCAGGGCTTCCCCTGTGAATGACATCTTCTGCCAGCCACTACCATGATTGCCACTTAAATCCCATAACCTGGAACAGCTGGAGAAACAGCAAGAATTGATGAAGATGCTTTTTAGAAGAATTAAGCAGAAGGAAATGCATTCAACAAAAGATATCTTCCATCCATAAACCAGTTGCTGTTGGAAACCACCACTGACTGTGGGAACAACCCATATCTCCAAACTGACTGATGAACAACTTATAAAGGAGTTACTCAGTGGTTTCTACTGCTTCCATGAGCGGGGCATTGGTTGCTGGAAGTACGAATTCTGCATGGCAAATATGTTATCACGAGGATAAGGAAAGCAGATGAGGCCCTGCCAATGCTGCGGCATTTTTGTGGAAAAGAACCATCCCAACCTCATAAAGTCATGGTGGAGGTTCAGGACCCAGGAACGGGCTGGTGGGAAAAGCAGTACCACTAATAACATGGAGGTGGGGGTATGCTTGTGTCTCCACAGATAAGGCCTGTGGTGGATTCCTGCGCGATGGGTCTGGCTGGCACTAGCGGTGGCCTCCTCCTCCTCCCTTTCTTCATTATCCTCACTGAAACCAGAATGGCAAAAAACAAAGAAGGGGGCGCGGGATCCCCTCGCTGCTTGGCTGGTTGGTTGCTGGGCTCCGCGTGCCGCAGGGCAGGGGCTGCTCCGGGGTCGGAAGCTGGTTAAGGTGTGTTTAACCCTAAATAAAGGTCTATGGAGCACCAGCACAGAGACCCTGCTCCTCCATATGCCTGCAGGTTTTCTCTTAAACTAATGATCAGGCTGAAATGAAAGGTTGAATTTAAGTAACTCACTGATGTTCACTTGCTGAAGTTCTATCTCTTAAAAACTCATTTTAGAAGAGCATAACCAACTCTTAAACGTTGTAAGAAACTGGGAATAGCTGTTCTTCAGCAAAGCTACACAAATTGTTATCAAAATTATAAAAACATATTCTGGAAAAACAGTAACAAATAGACTTTGGGACCTGTCTTTATTTGCTTGAGAGCTTTTTCAAGGAAGCTTTTATCTTTAATCTCAGAAGATGTGGGTATTGTATGTGATGGGTATATCGACTAAATGGAAATATTTAATACAAATATTTCACATATCACTAATGCCAGTCAAACAGTTTTTGGGTGTTGGGGCATGAGGTTGAGCAAGAGCCTGTTGACATGCATTTTACTTTGTCTTTTGTTTGTTTTCAGTAGGGAA